GAGGAGAGCGGCAATGGTGGTGGCGAGAGCCGTTATTTGGGCCTGAAGGCGTTGTAGCCGAGTGACCCAGACCCCAACGGGACGATGAGTGAATGCCGATGCAGGAAGGAGTCGATGGCCTCTTCTCGTCCTCCTCTCCGTCTTAGCCGCGGCCGGGATATTCCACCGCGACGGCGTTCCATTCCAGCATCATCTAATTATCCTCCGATTCCTCGGGCGAGTCGCGTATGTTTTTGACACTTGGCCGTACTCCAGCGAGTGCACCCCCGTCTAAGTTCCCGACACGCGTTGCCGCGACCGGGCAACTCGGAATAAAACAACCGGGAGAAAGCAGCGTAACGTAGCAAAGTTCGGGCGGCGTATGTTTTTTCACATCCGAATGGCCAAATTTGGCTTCTGCGTCCCCACTCGGAGAGGAAACGAGATGGAGAAAGTGCCGGTATTATTTCCTCCCGTTACGGCTATACTATTATTCATTAACGAAAGTGAAATGTCACCGGCGGCCGCCTTTGACGGGACTCATTCTCGGCCTAGGTACCGCGCTATCCGTGAGAACATCTCTTAGGCAAGTATGAAACATTAATGCACCGAGGGTATGACTACCGTGGAGGGGCCCCGATATCTTACTCCTCGTTTTGTATTTTAATTTAATAGCGATTGTAATTACGTCGCCCGCTACCTCCGCTCCTCGATCGAGACAATTTTTCGCGCGCTACTATTTAACGGCGGTGTGAAAAGTTGACGTTGCGCGAGCGCGAATTTTTCACTCGCTCCGGCGAATTCCTAAGTGAAAGGGACCAAAGAAACGCCGAGTTTTTGTATCTCTAATTATCCGCGAATAATAGCCCGGGGATATCATCGATAGAGTCGAGAATGTTACCGATTGCGCGGCACTCGTTGTCAACAGACAAAAAAAAAAAAAAAAACACAAAAAACAAAAAACAAAAACAAAAGAAAATAAAAAAATTTTTTAAATATAAAACAAGACAGAATAAAACAATAAAAGACAGAAAGAAACGCGGACGAAAGCCGAGTTAACGTAAATGGTAAACGACCGGATAGGTGATGGAATTGCTACGATAATCCTTTCGCCGTTCCGATTCTCCCATTTTCCTTCCTCCTTGTCGCGTTGAGCAAGCTTACGATATACCCTATTGATAAGGCCAATGTCCAGCCGACAATGCCTGTGCATTCAATAATTTTGATGATTAATAGTGACGAAGTGCAGTGGCGGGTATAATGTAATTCTTGCTCTCCTTAAATCGTTGATGGCGGCGCTCGTGACTGGGTCAACACAGACGATTCAAGGTTCAAATTCAACGGGAGCCTCCGAACTTATTTTGGCGAAGTTTAGGATAAGGAATCTCTCAGTCCCTAACCGCTCCTCCGTTGTTGCGCGGAGAACAAAAGCTTAGGCGCGAGCAGCGAATTCATTGACAAAGTCGGCCGAAATTGCGCGCAATGACCGTACTTCCTCTTTCGGGCAAACTACCTCCCCTTGGACTTGGCGTTGACGTTCGGATATTAGCGAATCGCACGTGCGTCAACGATGTCTCTTAGCGATGACAGTGCCGTGCAACAGCTCATACGCGCAATAGTATTTGCCATCATTCGTTGGAATATCGAAGCTGGACGTACGATGGTGGGAATGGGTACGAACAGAAGGCGATAAGAATGTCTCATGGTGCTGGTGGGTCGAGATTAACGTTTCGATGGTTGCGACGGCCTTGTTTGATCAGGTTGACGTGACGCAGCGTAACGTAAAGTCAAAGCACGAGGAAGAAGAAGGAGAGTGTCGATTGGGCGAAAACGAGGTTGGCACCATCATAGGTGGAATGGCGCTCCACGCGGCAGCCGCCGCCCCCCCCCCCCCCCCGTCTCTGCCACCGCATGTACCACCGCACTGAATAGAAAAAGGAACAAGGAGGAAGATGGAGCGTGTACGAACGACTTTACGGCGCGCCTCCCCGTAGCCTTTTATTGTTCCAGCACCACTTGCAATGGTCAAGTTTCCAGTTGAAGCAATTTTTCATTAATTTGACTTTCCTGGGCATTAGATCTCTCTCCATCGATCATCGTTATGTCGCTTTCCATTATCATTTGGAGTTGGTTCGGCTTTTACAGACTCGATTGATAAGGTCGTCACGGCAGAGTTCGTTCTGATTAGATTTTATTGGATTAAAATGGAATGTACAAAGTCGCGAATCATATCATTTATTTTGACGAGTGATAATGGAAAGATCGATTGTGTAAGGCTCGGTACATCGTGAAATAGAATTTCGTCGCCAGAAGCTCGAACATCGAATTCATATTAGCGGCCATTAAGACGGAAAGTATTTCGAGCGGTCAATCGATTGATCCTTGATAAAATGTAAATTCCGAGATCGAGCAATGCAAATAATTTCCAACGATGAAAATTAAAATTACGCAATATCGTTGAGTAATGCATCGACGACGTCAGCTTCCAAAATCATGACAATTAAGAGAAAGTAGAAAGTGCAATGGGGTTTTGTTGGGTACGAGTTTATGCATAATAATGTGATGCTACCTTCCAAAGCAATAATGAATCGACATTTATATATATATATATATATATATATATATATATATATTACAGTATCTTTGTTATCAAAAGTATTTATTTATTTACGGTTGGTACGGCAGGTCACAACGTGAAAGTTGGCGTTGCGCATCCTCGTTTTAAACTTGTAGCGAAACTGCACACTCGGAACTTTCAGTTTACTAATGTTGACTGTCATCCAAGTACCTGTCTCGCGTACTTTCTGAATTATCAATATATATACAATTTTATGTGATGACATATTAGGGATGGATAATAAAATAAAAATTTCATTTTAAACTGTAATAAATAAGGAGGCGAATAATACGAATAGTATGTAAAGTCTCTATTGATAATTTACTAAAGAGGTGATGCATTCAATTTTACTTTCAATAAACAGCTCCGAAGCAAACTCAACACGGGTGTCAAGAATTTTACAAAGAAATACAATTTAATTTTGAACTAAATAGAATTTTGAGTATAAATGAAGAAGAAGAAGAAGAAGCAAAAGAACAAGAAAAAGAAGAGGAAGTAAGAGATTTTTAATTGGCTTACTTACTGAGCCATTGTACTTTCACGTTTAAATTGTATAGCTAATCGGAATCATTATATCTTGATCTTATCGAGCATTTAAATACTTGATTTACAATTAATAAAGCTATTTAATTAAGCACTGTCTAACTAGCGTTGATGCTTTATTTTTTTAAAATCGTATAAAAAAAAATTATATGTGCGTTAAAATAACGTGAACACCAAGTGGATAATAACAAAAGGGATTTTTTTCTCTCCTATCCCCTCCCGCTCCCTCCCTCCTTCTCTCTATCTTTATCTCTTCGGGACGAGTAATGTCGCAATATTAAAAAAAGAATAAAAAAAAAGTTTCATTCGTTAGTTCGACATTCCCCGACGATTAGAGGACAATTGTGGAAAATTGGCAAGATCGAAGCGAATAGTCGATGGAATTGTAAATTTTTAGCGTACCGAGCATACGGCCACGACGACACCAAGGCCCAACTAATTCCGTGGGTAGGCACAAAGAAGCTTCGGTGGCGATATTAAATACAAATACATTCATTCTTCTAACTTAATGATAAATATTAATTGCCATGCACGTAGGTATTATGATCGATGAAACGACAGTCTCATCGCCCGTGATCGCGTTCACGGATAATACACATTACGTATAGAGCAACAGCAGCTCGGAATATATTGGCCAGAGTTCATAGTCGGTGCACGAATTATACATGACTTGCTTTAATTTAATGACACGTCCTATGAATAGATGCGCCAATGAAAGAAGTATTTCGATGCGTATTATTAAAGTGCCTTTTGCAACTCGGGAGAGTGTTGTAAGGTAGGGTAGCGTTGCAAATAAACGTGAACCGTTCACTTCGCGGCATTCGACTCGACGCTAAACTCATTTTCTAACAAATTCCGCTAAATCAAAACTCGTCTATTATTCACAATTGGCGCAAGGGAGAGAAAGAAAGAGGAAAAAGAGGCAAAAGAGACAAAAAGCCGAGGAAAAAAAAATAAGCTCGGTCGCCTGTCCAAGACCCCCCCCCCCCCCAACCCCCCCCCCCCCACTCCCCTCCCCTCCCCTCCCCCCGCCACCCGCAGCGATATCGCTATCGCACAATACCGCGACCTGCAAATTACATGGCTATCGTCGCATTCACAGCGTATCATTTAATAAAAGAAAACGACGAGGAAACCTTTTCCACAGTTGCAAAATACGCCACGGTTGATTAAGGCCCAGTGGTTCGTAGTTGCGGGTGTGTACACGCGCGCGCGCTCGCAAAAAAAAACTCCCCGCTGGAAATGAAAGGCAATAAGATGTAAGAAACGACATTAGCCGCACGAAAGGGCGACGACCCGGAGACGCTACCGCAAGAAGAACGACGGCGGCACTCGACGAAAGGACGGGCGACCGTGTCGAGACGAATGGCCGAGCCAATGTCAATGCTAACGCTCGGAGGGAGAGTCGGGGCCCGAATCCAATCTGGGTTACCGTTTACATACGTGGACGTTTACATCCCGCCTCTCCTATCCTTCCGGCTGCCTCTCCGAGCCGTCCTATTCGCCTTTAGAAAGTCGCGCGTTTCCCGAACGGCTGCGCTACCCCGGACCCACCGTGCCCATTCCGGGGCCATTACGGCCGGCCGTCTACGATAAGCCAGCCTCTAGCGGACGCCTGCCACCGGCATTTCTCCGCTGCCTCTTACTCTCGCCAATCTTACGCTCCGTCCGTTGAATTTAAGAGGAGACGCACTTGCTGCTCTCGCTCTTCCTCCTCTCGCCAGCGAGCTCCATTAGCCCCCCGTAGCCGAGCCGAGGAAACTCTGGCTTCCCTACCTACCTATTCAATCACCCACCCACCTCTATCTCGAGCCCAGACGCCTACCACTCATTAGCAATCGATTCAATTTTATGTTTTCAGAGGTCAGATGTGGACAGCCAGCGGTGCCAATGAACGCGAGGGTCGCCTTGTCCGAGGAGTCGCTCAAGGTCGGCACCACCGCCACCTACGCCTGCGACGTGGGATACGAGCGCTTCGGGTAAGAGACTCGTTATCCTCGCGAGGAGGCGACGTCGAGAGATTCGCGACCACTATTTTTATTTTTTTTTTTTTTTTTTTTTTTTTCAATGCGACTATCCGCCCAGCGGCTCCTGGCAACGACTTTTTCCGCCCGTCCTCGAGGGAGAACGGGAGCACTCCTTCGAGGCCCGATCGACTTTTTATGACCCGTGCCTCTACACGCGTAACGCCCATGTGCTCGTGTTTCATAAGATTGCCGTGTCGAAGCAACGGCATGGCACTGGGAACGGGGCTCGCGCCTTTATCCCTAACCACGATTCTCCAGTGATCCTCCAGAAATCCTCCAGAGATAAGCACAACACTCTTTGAGCTTTGAACAAACATTTTCAACGTGCAGAATTTCCGTAATTAGCCGCGCTCAGCTGAAAAACGAATTTCAAAAGCAATTCATGTTCTGTTAATACCGATCGAATAAGCCCACTTGTACACGCCCATTCTATTTAGATCATTTATCATCTAATAGATTCCTATCTTTTTTGTTTTACTTAAGTAAGTCGCTCGTATGCGGAAGGCTTTGTTTAATCCGTGGGAAGGCTAAAAATAGCGGTTATTCGTAATTTGCATCGAGGACAGTGAGGATTTTACCAAAGCCTTACCCATGCCACAATAAACATTGAATGAAATTTCTCTTCTCGTGCGTTTACCTAATTTTCTAATGCCGCAAATCGTGCCTCTCAAAGGCCCATATCGATCAATGACCAACAATATGAATGAATAATTTTTTAATGCTGACGTTTGACTCGCCTACTGAAAGAGCCGAACATTAACATTTATCGTTTAAAATTTCCGACTCAGCATTTCTCTAATTATCATCATCTAATCGAAATGTATCCTCTCAGAAGCATGAACGATTCAATTTCCTTATTAAACACGTTATCGTTATTAATATTAATATCGATATTATTGTCATTATTATCGTCATCGTCCTCGTCGACGTCATCATTGTTGTTGTTGTTGCTCTTACGTGCTATCATAAAATTAAAAACCACTTTAATTATTAGCAAGAAATACAATATATTGCCGCTTGATAATAAGTCAATATCATTTACATAAAAACTGGTATATTGACATTTGTCAAAGTGTTGATTTATCCATGAAATTATGCAATTATTTTCTAAATTTAAAATATACACAGCAGATACGGAATATTTTCAATTCTCTTCCACTTTACGGAGCTATCCAATCGTAGAAAGCGATTTTTATCTTGTACACTATGTGCAAACGATACAATATGAAGAATGTGGGTTACTAAAGTGTCTATTACCATTAAGATGTATCACGAAAACAAAAAAACAAAAACAAAAACAAAAACAAAAACAAAAAAAAAAAAAAAAGAAAACAAAGAACAAAAAAAAAAGCAGAAAAGAAATAACATGCCGGCTAAGAGGAACAAAAATATTATCTCCAAATAAATATAAAAGTAAAGTTCGTTATGTTTGGAATTAGCCTGACTTCTCGGCCTGCATGATTTCACATTTAAAAATCAACGCATCAACGACATTGTCTCGCTTTTCATAAATTGCTCCTTAATTAAATATATCAAGCCCTATTATGATTATCTCAATTCATTGTTTATTTAGTATAAAAATTTATTATTCTATTAATGTCTCGTAGCCTTTCAATGCCTATTGTCAATTAATATTCTGACATTTGATCCTACCTCAGTCAGCTGTAAAATGTATTTAATCAGATGCTTAATGAATCTTAGAATAAAAAGTCATTTGATCCTTATCACGAGTTTAGTTTTAATCGGCAACTTTGTGTCAGTTGGTAGCTTAATCGCTTAATTCCTAAATGTGATGTAATGCAATTGCATGAGGGTGACTTAACACCGCCAACGGGTAACGGTAAAAAATACAAGAGATAAGAACGTTTTCCAACAATTTGTTGAAACGCAGCCAAAAAAAGTCGTTTACAGTTTACGGACGACTGCTCATAAGAGAAGAAATAAACAATTTTTCTTTTTCATTAATTCCTTAGGCTATTCCCTTTCTTATTATTATGGCTGTTGTTATTGTTATTGGCCTCTTTTTATTACTCTAAGTTGTCGTAACACATAGATTTGCTTAAACTATCGTCTCTCGGTAATTTACGCACAAACTCGATATTATGTATGAATTATCTACAAGACCATTTTGATGAATAAAAGCATCTTGTTAAACATTCGACGAGGACGAAAATTTATTGGATGAAATAAATGATCGTTGGAGCCACTATGAATTAATAAAATTCTAGTGAACTTGACTTGATAAGCTTGTGGCAGGTTGAGCCAGACGTGTAACCAGACGTGCATAGTTGACTTTGCTTAATTCACGGTTGTTTTTTTTTTTGTTTTTTGTTTTTTTTTTTTTTTTTTAATGAAAGTTGCTGGAGCACCGCGTAAGTTAATTCGAGGATGGTCGGCGTGACTGTACCGGACAGTTAGCAATGCGATGCTGCGTTATTGTTTATAACTGTATGGAGCACCGAAGTCAGATCATTCAGAAGTCTATGATCATTGTCTTTGTCTATGCCGCCACTTTCATCGCAACTTTTGATCATTTATCGTCGCTCGTATTTATCTCCCCACCGCGGAACCTTCGCCCTTCTCAATATCTTGTAGGGCAGATAATCGGTAAGTGTTTTTCATTATTGTGAAACTCTACCTGGAATTATGATCGTTCCAATTGCTCATTGGAATCGCAAGATTCTAGTTAATCGTCTCAATTTTTAATCGAGCTTTTGAAAATTGGCGTGCGTTCACTTGGCTCTCGATCCAAAATAAATCTAACGCCCGTCATTTTCCAGCAAGGCTACCTAAGCTTCCTTTTAACATTCTATCAATTATCTCGAGCATTGAGATTATGACAATTGTAGGCGACGAGCAATTATTCTTAACCGTAGAGCAAATAAATAGTGTCGGAATGGTAAGTATGTGTAAGTACGATCGTTAGAGCGAGACTTTCATAATATAAGCTAATAGATAAACGTGCTTTTTTCGCTTATCTCCTGTCTCCATGATAAATCTTTACATTATAAATACATCTAATTAAACGCCGTGGATAAAGATCCGGATAATAAAAAGCTGAAGGCCATTTTTAAACAAAACGTTGTCTCTTCTCCTATCCGATCTTGTATCGGAGGTTTAATTGGAAATTTGCTTTCAGCACAAATACCCTGACCTGCAGCAACAAAGGAAAATGGCAAGGAGAACTACCTTTCTGCGGTAAGCATTAAAAGCAACAAACTGTTAACAAACTATTAATCCACAGTTAAGTCGCTATTTGTATATCCGCACCCGGGGCAACGAGAATACATAAACGTTGATAATGGCAACGAGGAAACGGAAGCATTTACGTAAGTTCGTTAGTTGGTTAGTTCAATCGGAGGATTATTGCGGCAAACGCTGTATCCTGCCGATGTACGCAACATTGCCGTAAGCTGAATTTCTTTATCAATCTCAGTGAGAATACGACCGTAGGAGTCGGTACGCGTGCACGCGGATCGCATTATTCGGCGCGAACTCGCACGGAATCGCGGCTACGAGTTCCCGCGAAATCCAGCCGATCGCCTCGGCCCTCCTAATGATACAAACCGTACGTCATTAGATATGAGCGACTAATAATGGGATCATATCGTTGCCATTAGTGGCGAGGGGAGAGGAGCGGATTGGGTCGGCGGCGCCGATTGGGAGTATCGGGCGATTGGCTTGAAGTCACGAGCCGCGGCACGAGCGAGTACGAGACTTACATAAGCATCGTTTTCGTTATCTCGAGTCCATGAAAATCGTCGCTTCCATGAGAAGGCGCGCACTGATGCAACAGGAAGCGACCATCGCGCTAACGAACAGCGGGGGAATAGCAGCGAGTCCACGAAAAACAGTGAGTCCCGGACGCACGTACGACTGGTAGGAGCGAGGGAACCGAAATATCAGAGACCTGTGGGAGAATCTTAGAGGTGATTGGAGGGAGGGAGGGGGTAGAATGGGGGAAGGTAAATCATCGGCCAATGTTTAATTTCCGATTCTCTCTCCGATTCTTTAGGCTTATTGGGCTTATCGAGGTTATCAGCTTATCGACAACCTTTAAAGACCCTTTAAGATTTTCTGATTTCATCGTCAAATGCTATGCTATTTCGACATACCCGTTGTTTTCACTCGCCTATCGAGTGAAGACGTTCGAAGGTTCGATCGTTAACTCAAGCGCGACTTGACTTTACATTCGTGAAAGCCACTTATCGATTTACCGTTTGAAGGCATTCGAGAATTTACAAGCACTAATAGTCACTGGCAAGTGTTCTGCTTTCGTCTCGACGTTCAGCTTAACAACTGCGTACGACCTTTCCAAATCCGTTTTATATACTTCTCATAAGATGCGAGATTAATACGGAAAGTTAAAAGAAGATGATGAGATGGTAAAAGTCCTGTGATGACAAACGGATGTCGTCGAATTAACCGAAAACAGCCGGTCGACGACATTATTAACGTAAACTTTCGATTAATTTTATAAATCGACGTTTCTATTATGGAGCAGTTGCTGGTGCGTCGAGAGACTTTATGTCTTAATAATTCAAGTATTTATGTTATACAAAACGGTGTTTTCGGTGATGAAGAAGTCGTAAAAATAAAGCTAATCGTCAGGTTGTAGTCGGATAGTCGAGTTTGCAGTTGTAATTTATTGGTAGTCGAGAATCTTATTATTCGAACTATCCGAGAACGTAAAAGGTTAGGAAAAAGTCGATTTTCGAAAGTATGCAGTAATCTAATAGAGTGGAAACGGCGAAAACTTACGTGAATCTTGATTGCAATAGTACGTGCGATTAGGAAGTTATTGCATTGTATCGATCGGACAAAACGACTCCTCAAAAATTGTTGCAATTGTTTAAGCGCAAAAAGTCGCGAATTATATGAGGGAAGAATAAGAAAACGTAGAAATAACTCGTTAGTCTTGCGTCTATTCATTTGTGTGAGCGGGATATTTGCTCGGAGAACTGCTCTACTTTTTCTCACGCTCAGCTGAAAAAGCCAAATAATTAAAATTTGCCGGGGCAAAATGCAATTTCTATAAATACGAATTTCCATTGTGGAAGATGTTGACGGGGATGAGTGATCTCAGTTTCCATTAAATTTATTATCCATTGTACTTAGAGTTAATTACTTATTGAAAAATTGTACTCGCCTTAGCTTTTTATTTTACAGATTAAGCTGTCAAAACATAATGTTTAGTCTGAAATAAAAAGCAAAGATAACAAAACAATACAAAACAAAACAAAAACAAAACAAAAACAAAACAAAAACAAAACAAAAACACTAAAAATTCTCATAGGTAAAGTAGACGTTCGAGTGAAAAAGGTGAACATTGTTTTTGTCTTTTTTAAGAAAAGTAATAAGAAAGACTCTCTAAAATAATAAGCTATAAAAATATTTAAATGTCTAATAGTTTGTCGGGTAATGAGAGAAAGAAAGCAGTTAGTTTGAGCTTAGCACTGAACTTCATGATGATAATTTATTTTCAATAGTCTTAATGGATTCTCAATAACTTTTATTACAATGATTTTATATTCTATTATAGCATTATAATGAAATGTTTTGTTTAGAAATATAAGAGCATTTGAAGAGTCTTGAGGGAATACGACTATTAAATTTCTATTATTGTTTCGAGCGTAAAAAGACTTTCGATTTGAAAATCATACGACCTTAATGGCCGATGAGAAAGTTATGAAATATTAATTTAAGTTAAATCGAAGTAAAAGGATTACTAAATTTGGTATACATGCATTTATAATTCATATCTGCTCCGGGGATATCGAAGAAACAATCCATTCAATTTCTCCGGCAATTAGAGTATTTCATTTTCTTTCAAATTCTTACCCCTTGAAAAAAAAAGTGGCGGGGGGGGGGGGGGGGATGAAAAGAAGAACGTGAAATTTTGCTGATAATAAGGCACTCGTCATCGATTCTTGCTAATTGCACGAAACGCTCTTACGGATTTCAAATTCGTAGAGATCGATAAATCGATAAATCTTGCCCAAATGCCGAATCAACTTTACGTTACTAACGAATGAACTCAAAAGCAGTTTTAATAATGATAATTTGTCAACGCTTAAACACACAAAACCTATTAGGGATCCACGGGTTTTGACTGCTCGACTAATCGACGGGAACTCCATGCTGCAGGTGTTAACGTCGGCTTCAGGAAGCCAACCAACCAGTCAACGACGGTCCGTGGGGGTGACGCCGGACACGGGAACGACGGCGACCTCAGCACAGAGCACGATGGCAAGAGATGCACCGAGACGCAGAGCGAACCGAGTCCCTGGTGGAGGGTCGACCTGCTGAAACCCTACTCGGTCAAGGTCGTGCGGGTTACGACGAGAGGCTGTTGTGGTAAGAACCGCGAATCATCGTCCTCTCGTTGGCGCTGATCCAGTCCTGCTTCGCGCGACTTTTATCTTTCGTTACAGTCACTTTCTCAACAACTACGACCCGTTATTAACGACTAAAGCAATCGACCAAGTCGAGTCAATCGCATTATTTTACAAAGCTGACACGTTTAACGACGTACATCCTTCTTTCTTCCCTCTCTCTCCATTTCTCTTGAATCCTTTCTTCGGTAGTAGCACCGTCACCTTAATCGTCACCGGGTCATTCGACTTTATCGCAGACGATAATAGCAAATGGCCAACACCGCAAGTGGCTAAAATTCGCTTCGTTCTAAAAGCTGTCGGGCTCTTCTGCGCGATTATCGCGAGCGTTACGAAATGTGCCACACTCGTAGTGACCGGGTGAGGTAGAAACGCCAGTTGATCCGATGCTGACGTCATTAGGAGCGAGCGCAGGGCTCGATAGGCCAGGGCGCAACGAGATGTTTGAAAAAATTAGCCGCGGTGATGAGTTTAACGGGCGCTCGGCGCTCACCTTTGTCTGTCCCGCACAGGTCATCAACCCCTGGAGGATATCGAGATCCGCGTGGGGAACAGCAGCGCCGAGCTCCAGAGGAATCCGCTGTGCGCCTGGTTCCCGGGGACGATCGGTAAGTGATTCGAGCCCTTACACCGCAATAAAGGCCCGTACCTAAGCAGCGAAACTTGACTTTTCCAGAGGAGGGCATCACGAAGACGTTCGCGTGCGCGCGCGCTCTCATCGGCCAGTACGTGTTCCTGCAGCTGGTCGGTGTCGAGGGCAGCCTGAGCCTCTGCGAGGTCGAGGTTTTCGCAACGGACGGTGAGTAGGGCCGGGCCCCGAGGGCTCTCAAGTTCGGCCGCCGCGCCGGGCCGAGAGGCTAAGAGGTCGATTATTAAGAGAAAGGCCCGCGCGTTGCGCAACCGCGACTAATCTCGAATTCCCGCTTCCCCTTCCAGAATTCTCGGTGGATAGGTGCGCCCACGCGGGGACCCCGGCCGACGCCGACCTCGCCGCCTTCAACTCGACCTGCTACGAGTTCGTCATCAACAAGGGCGACTCGTTCCAAGAGGCGAGGAGCTACTGCCAGGCGCGCGGTGGCGACCTGGTGCACGGCTTCAAGGTGACTCATAGTGATTCGTGGTACTCCCGTAACTCACCATAACTCCCGCCATAACCCCCGTGACGAGGAAATGGAAAAGCCGCAATTGGCTTCTCTATTTTCCCCTCATGCTCGATAGAGACTGAGCTACGAAGTAATGGGCGAAAAAAAAAAAAAACTTGCCTATTTCAGCGAGGGAAAGTTGCGAAAAGAGTGGTTATGCACGCACAAAAACCATCGTTACTTTAACGGTCTGCCTATATCTCTCTTTAATATTCGACTTGTCGCGTCGCTCCTTACATACACACATATCAATAAGCCATATGGATAACTTTTAGCCTTGCATTTATGTTTCGCAATAAACTTTGATTCGTGGTATAATCGGAGCATTTAAAGAATATAGAGTTTTGTTACGCAACGACCTAACATAACCAATGCACACCGTTTTCTGGAATATCAGAGTTGCGCGCACCTAAGGTTATCAATTTCAACGTTCGAATAATGAATATATAGTTTTATAAAAGTTTTCCAATATTTCCGACTTTTACCAAGGCCTTATGCTTTTCCTTCAATTTTTTTCCTCCTCCTCTCTCTCTCTCTCTCTCTCTCTCTCGCTTACATTTTATTTACGATTTTGTAATAACGGCCTTGATAACTTTCCCTCCTATTGCTGTCTGCGTTGTGCCGCACTCGCAATTCAATGGTAAAATGGTGAATAAGATGGACATTAGAAGAAGGGAGAAAAAGATTCGTTATTTCTTATCGAAGTCGTACGTCCAACGGCTAATGAATAAAATTCTATCCAAATCACAGGTTTTATCTCTTACGTCTTCGAATTGCCATTTATATAAATGCTCCACCTACTTCGCGTAATAGTCAATATTTTTTTCAAACGAATTGCTATTTCATATGCTGCATTCAATAACTTTTCAATGCTCAAATTCAATATAAAAGTCCCGTAATAAAGACAGCCGAGTAATTAAATAAAATAAGTAACTAACTTACTTGAAGTGCATTAACCTAGAATTCTTAATAAATAATATAAGATTCTGTTCATTGCAACAATACCAGCATGTTACGACGAAATACGTGCGAAATGTTGAGTTACGCTAGTACTCACCTTAATTTCCATAAGAATGTAAAAATACGCAGTTAAAATACGCTTACGAGCGGTTAGAGGCCAAACCATAATCGAGCATAAGATTTTTATCCATAAATAAACGCGCGCTTCCTGCATAAATGGATATTTATGAAATATAGAGTTCTCAATCTACGGATAGCAGGACAATTTCTGCGATTAATGCAATTAACAGTTAAATCGTACATAATGAATTTATGAAGTTATAAAACTCGGGCTTAAAGTTTTTCCAAACACCGCTCGAATCGCCATATTAAAAATAGATGCATAACGATTTGAATAGCAGCTTCGCCTCGGTTAATCGTCTGCATTTTATTCTCGCGCTCTTGAAAATGCTTTCGAACGCTCGCCATGTCGACGTATGCGCACCGAAATAACACGGAATAACCGTCATTCTTAAATTCTCACACACAGGGCATCTCGTCGACTTTCATACTGAACAATCTCGAGAGGCGAAAGAGCAAGTTGAAGACTCAGCTGGTCTGGATAGGAGCACAGAAGGAGCCGCTGATAACAGTGAGAACGTGGAAATGGGTTGATGGTACGTACACGCGACGATAAAGCGCGGGAGAAATGCGCGTTGAAAGAAAAGTTCGATGACCCTGCAATTCGAGCGCATTTGCACTACACGAATATGCCTACATATATATTCGTATCAATCAATGACCGCCTGAAGATCCATTAGAGTCGAGCCAAGTGTCCTTTCGTTGAATTCGTATTCGCGTTTCCGTTCTAATCTGACGGCATCATCGCGAGGCACCGCCTTACGTAAACTAACGAATCCTGCGATTGGCGAACGACGGCAAATAGACTAACATGACCTAACGCTTCCAATCATATTCCATTTCACATTATTTATACGCAGTAGCGAGCGATAGTGTCATTAAGCCTATTACAATGATTCCCATCAAACACTTTTAACACACATTCTAACCTTTTTTTAAAGTCCAGATTATTAAGGCTACGCGATTCTTCGTTTATTCAATCTACCTTCGGTTTTATCTCACGAGAGCCATTAACTCTGCCTGCTGCTAACTAAAATCGTAGCGCATGTAATTACGAAGAACGGTGAGAACGAGGCCAGTCGCGAAGCTCGCCAGATTAAGTAATCAGTTTCGCGCAAATGCAAATACGCATGTGCTGTTGACTCGACGTCGTTGATCTTCTCGATCCCCCGAGGCCGATTGATTTTCATAATAACGTGCGTGTAACGTGCGAGAAACAAGCGAGTGCACCGATCATTGTTTGCAGGCGAGGTTATTCAAAAGCCTCACTGGGGCAAGGATCAGCCCAATAATTACAACGGCGAGCAGAATTGCGTGGTCCTGGATGGCGGACGATCCTGGCTCTGGAACGACGTTGGCTGCAACTTGGACTACCTGCATTGGATATGCCAAAGCAGTGAGTGATTTTCGTCTCGGGGTCCTTTGAGGCCCCGCGGCTACGTAATGGCACGGCTTTAGCCAGCCAGCCGAGTCGATGTGGAGAAAGATGGTCGCTTAGCGCCAGCGAGGAACGTTAATTGTCATATTTAGGCACGCGAACAATGCGCGACATAATGCAATAATCACGAGGTTATTTAGAATTTAACGTTCAAGGGGCCCTAATAGTGGAGCATCTTTGTTTTCCAACGCTCGACACTATTTTCTTGGGATGAACGATCGGCGATTATTGATATGATCGAAAAATCTTGCAGAGCCGTCGACATGTGGAACTCCCGAGAAGCACGAAAACACGACGATCGTCCAGATGCGAAGAGCACTGGGCTCGACCATCGAGTACGTCTGCCCTGACGGTTACATGCTTCTCGGATCGAAAAATAGAACCTGCGAACTCACCGGCTTCTGGAGCGGTACACCGCCGACATGCAAATGCAAGTTACCGTTTAATTATTGACTCCCTAATTGCTTATGAATACTTCAATATGAATTTTTACTTTACAGTCGTCGATTGCGGAGCTCTCGAAGAGCCGGACAACGGCACCATCAGCTTCGTTAATGGCCGAACGACTCACGGGGCTTTTGCCGATTATACCTGCAAGGAGAATTATACACTGGTAGGGGATGCGAGACGCAGATGCGGAGATGGCGGGATCTGGAGTGGCCACAAGCCTCAGTGCTTGTGTAAGTAATGATTTAACGTTAAAACACCGCATCCCACCATTACGAATGCAAGTGTAATCAACAAAATTTAATGTCCAATTAAATCTATAGTCGACTGGTGCCCGGATCCACCCGAGGTTAACGGCGGCATCGTCTCCTTTAGTGGTAAACGTGCTGGATCGAAGGCTACTTACTCGTGTCAGAATGGTTTCGTACTTTTCGGCGATAACGTAAGTATGTTAATAGTAAATTCAAAGGAGAAAGAGGAGATGGAGCAGGAGCAAGGCGCTTTTAGAGAAGACGCGAAAACTTTTAAGAGCTATTATTAGATGTCGAGGAATTATTAGGAAGAATATGAATCTCGTAAAGAAATAATTAACTTCCACTTATCGGCATATGCAAGTACAAATCGGTAATAAAGCGCGATTACTTGTAATTTTTATTTCTCAGCCATCACGATGGCTGAACAAAGATCGTGATGCGAGCATTTTCAAAAGAACTGCTATTATATAAATCGACTCGTACGACAAAATTGAAGTAGCAAAGTGGTGACGAAGAAATTGCCGTTTATAATAAAAAAAAAAAAAACAAAAAAAAAAAAAAACAAAAATCCGCTGTAAGGTAACAAGGATGACCTTAACGCAATTACCCATGTCCCTCTCCCACATTATCGCTCCTCAAACGAAGGCAAAGAACTTCTACAGTTTAAAAATTCATTTGGTTCGTTAACCAACATTAACGAAACAATGGCTCGTGATACTTGAAAACGGAGCACATTCAGATAATACGACGAGATACACGGAAAATTTTTCCCGTGACCAGACAATTGTCATTGATGGAAGGGACGAAGGGAGGGGGGGGGTGTCACGCACGGCTCACAATAAAGTGTACTATGTAAGACGAGTGAAAGGCAATGCAGTCCCGTCATGGGATAAATTTGAATTCACCTTGAAGGTCCTGACGTGCGACATTGGCGGCCAATGGTCGGATAAAACACCGCAGTGTCGTTACGTCGACTGTGGCGCCCCGGCCAAAATTTCCCAAGGCGCGGTTAAGCTGCTCAACGGTACGACCACCGTCGGCAGTCTCATCGAGTATACCTGCCAGGACGATTTCTGGGTCGACGGGGAAGCCCGACAAGACTGCACCAAGGAAGGAAAATGGAGCCACAAGACGCCCCAATGCGAACGTAAATTACCCTGCGCTTTATAAGCCCTGATTGGGGACTAATACCTACGATTTATTTACCGTCGCGTGTCTCCATCTCGACAATTTACCGATCATAACGATTACTTTCAGTAATCACTTGCGAGGAGCCCGAAGTCCCCAACGGCAGCTACGTCGTCGGCTACGATCTCTACATTCACAGTATCATCGAATACCATTGCGAGGAGGGCTATCTGCTGCACGGCGAGGCCAAGCACACTTGCGACAAGAACGGCGACTGGACGGGCGAGCTACCGTACTGCGAATGTACGTACACCGAGTCCTTCCTTCTAACTCCTTAAATAATTACGCGTGAAAGAGAAAATTCGCTAATCCATTGTTTCTCTTTCGCCTCGTCTCCAGACATTGACTGCGGTAAGGTCCTGCCCGTGCCCAACGGCTCGGTCGATTACGTCAACGGTACCACGTTTTTAGGGAGCGAGATCGCCTACAGCTGCACCAAAAACTACAGGCTCAACGGCAGCTCGAGACGCTACTGCTTGGACAACGGGATTTGGAGCGACGCCACTCCCAAATGCGAAGGTACGCTAGCCGACTCTCCTCTAACGACTTTAACTCTATAACGTTCATCTAACGCATTCACCGTCAACACACTCCTCTCCGCCAGAAATCAGGTGTCAAGAGCCAGTCCTGGCCAAGCACGGCATCCTCTCGCTGACGGGTAACGACCGCATGTACGGCAGAACCTTGATAAGAACGGGCACGGCCGAGAACTCCAATACCGGCGCAACTTCCTACAAAATCGGCGCCCTCGCCAAGTACAGGTGCGAGCGCGGCTACAAGGTGGTTGGCGACTCGCTATCCACCTGCGAGGACAACGGGAAGTGGAGCGGCGAGGTGCCCCAGTGTGTTTGTAAGTGAAAATCCAGGCCCGCAAGGCCGATATAATATAGTCCATTCAACGGACAACGGGGCCTCTCTTCCGACTTAGTTCCTTGGCACTTAGCCTCAGCCCCGCCCATAAACTTCCCATCCTCCCATCCTCCCGGCGCTCGCATTAGCCTTGCGCACGAGCACAATAGCCCACCGCTAACAGCCACTGTACGCCCGCTCGCAGACGTCGATTGCGGCAGGCCCGAGGACATCCAGCACGGACGCTACACCCTCACCTCGAATGTGACGTATTACGGAGCCGCGGCACTCTACGAATGCGACGGCAATTACGAGCTCGACGGCTTCGCCAGGAGACTCTGCCTTGAGAACGGCACCTGGAGCAGCGAGACGCCCATATGCAAGGGTAGATTAGCCAATCGACATCGCTATTACTCGCCACTTCGCATTCCATTGTCATTAATTAATCGTCGTGCTTTTGTCGTAGAAATAAAATGCAAGGAGCCGGATAAAATTGGAATGTCGAGCACGCAAGTGTCGACTCACAGTGTCGGAGGCGTGGCTCATTACAATTGCCCGAGGGGATATTTCATGGAGGGTAACGCCACTAGGATTTGCTTGCAGAGCGGCTCTTGGAGCGGTCGGGCTCCAGCTTGTTTCGGTAAATTAGTTATTAATCAATTATTGGTAATGGTGGTGGTGGTGCTGGCGGTTTCAGTGGGATGGGGTGGGGGGGGGGGTTAAGGCGATGAGGGGGCAGGAGCGGGGGCATTGCGATTTCATAGACTTTCTTCGAGTTCCCGTTCATACGATTATTTGCAGCCGTTGATTGTAAACACCCGTCGTTAATCGATAACGGCAGAGTGATCGTCGTTAATGGGACGACGACTTACGGCGGAGCAGCCGAGTATCATTGCTTGCCGCAATTCGAGAGAGTCGGTCTCTTTCTAAGGAAATGTCTGGATAGTGGACTGTGGAGTGGCGAGGAGCCTAGATGCGAAGGTTAATTCACATGTCACATGTACAGCCGTGATTAATGCATCGAAATAACGGACTAATGTGACGGGGAAGTTAGGACGAAACGAGCGACGATCGTCTCCTCGTACGTATACGCGCACCTGTACATCTCGGCATTTATCTCAAGAACTCGGATAATCGTGATGATTATTTGCACGCTGCTCTGTATGATAGATGAACGTCATTTGCGTTCGAAACGTTAGATTCATACACCGTACCTTGTAATTTTATACGATCGTTATTTAACACCGCGATAACGGATTCGACTTGCCTGATATTATTTGTCCTTTCGCTTCGATGCATTAACGGCTAATCGAAACTGAAACTTCGAGATAAGATGGATATCCGATTAAGTCTTAATCCACTGACCATTTGTAGAATCAGGCAATGAAATCGCCGAAGCTCAGGGTGTTGGCACGAGTGTCGGCATCGCGGCTGGAGTAATAATAATCATTTTAATTATAATTGGTCTGGTCTACCTACGATTGTAAGTACATGAGCTTGGATTTTGCATTATTTAATGTCCCTTATTTAATTTTAATGTCGAGACTTGTTGATTTTAGACGTAAGGCGACACCTGTTAAAAACACGGAGAACGTCCAAGCTGCGGAGCGCAAGGAAGACCAAAATGCAGCCGTTATGTCTTACGCGACGTTAAATGACGGCACGCCGAACTCAATGTACGAAAATGTTCCTGAAGATGGTCTATATGATCATCCATACAGCATAAATGGCAGTACCTATGGGTAATCCTATATTAACGAGATTAGTTTTAACATACATTGTTGCCCAAGGACTAAAATAAGATAAAAACTTTAATGTATAATTGGAAATTAGCATTGCTTCCTTGTTGCTGATGAACTTCCAATTCGCGCACTTATTTATTTATACGTATTTGTCTAAGTGATTTTAAGAACTGCAGCTTTTTAATGTTAAATGCATTAAGCTTTCTTTCGGAGCATTCGAATCGTTTAAATTGAAAAGTAACTAGGATGCTTTTCAGGCGTAGGACTAATATTTTACGTGTAAATCATTAATATAATTTTATTTAATTATAATTAGATTAGCGTTTATTATAATTAAATGACAAACAAAACTTTCTCAATCAATAGTACTGCTAATGCAATATTATGCATTATTATGAATAATTATATTACCATTTTGAAGTATTGATACGATACATTTAAGTTTCGTGCTTGACAATTTTATAATTAGAGCTAAGTTTTATTATTCTGTTAATGAATTTGTATTATAATGCTTTTTACAATATTTAAATATTAGCTTCAATCCTTATGTTTAAACAATTTCAACTAATAATACATTTCTCATAAATTTTTCGGTTTTTATTATTTGTTGCCTATGCTTATATAAATTTAACAAATATTGAAAAGTAATATAATATGTGACTAATACAATAAAAACTAATATCAAATGCTATAAAGTAATTTGAAATTTTATATGAAATGTGTGTGTGTGTGTGTGTGTGTGTGCGCGTGTGCGTGCGTGGCGTGTACACATATACACTACTTATGAGGTTGTATTTAAGCTTATGTAAAATTTTACATTATCAATAACAGAATTCAGATTGACATATCATTAGTATGTACGCACGTGCGAATATCCATCCACCCACACACGCATACGCGCTCACACGTATTATGTTTTATGCATTTGTTTTGTAGATACGGCTCAGGACAAGGAAGAAGGAATTACAACAGATCTGGACATTACGAGGCAGAACCTGTAATCAGGAATGGAATTACCATTAACGGAGTTGCCGTTAGATAGTTTATAATGTGGTATTTAATAAAAGACCATAATCAAAGAGTTTCAAACGTAATCTACAGCTCCATCCTGCCATTTAAAATGAATTTTGTACAAATATTCTTCGGCAACAAATCAACGGATTTTATATTTGTCTATCATATGTACAACTTATTAACACTCACAGTTTTTTGAATTTATATCGAAAGCTTTAGACCAAGAGTAGTAAAGTATTATGATAATTATTTGTTTTTTAATAGAGCGTAGATATTTAATAATATTTGTTTCGTTAAATAGTTTCAGCCTTATAGTGAAAGTGTACACAAGTATGAAAGTATTAAGTTCGAATCACTTTGATGTACGTGATCCTGTAAATCAATGCTTTCTCTATCAATGACTAGAATTTGTTGAGACATTATGCAAAAAATAGAATGAAAAAAAAGAAAGACAGCGAGAGAGAGAGAGAGAGAGAGAAATTGTAATTAACTATGTATTTGTGCACACTCTTCTTAAGGATATAATTATGAATGAATATGTAAATAGCTTTCAGAACAATTACAATTATGGACGTAAATATCATTTCCTCGTTACAGATGTGAAAAGGACAAATTTATCTAGCCATGTGGCACCTTGTAAATGTACTTTTTGTATATATATATATAATGCGTCAAAAGCATTTTAGATTTGCTTAAGGGTAGATTTGTTCTATTATCTATTTTATCGATAATCGCCGAGAGCGATTGATTGTTCGTTGAAATAAAAAAAGTGATTGACGTAATAAAAAAAGGAATTAATTAAGAAATATGGTATATAATGTCATGCCGACTATATGTTATTTAAAATCCTTAAAAACTCCAAATCAGACTCAATAATGATAATTCAACATTCAATGTAATATCAACACTTAGTCGTTAATCGGCAAAATAATCGTCATCCTATTGATCATACACTGACATTTCCATATAACTCCAACAATATCCGCTTGAGCTCATACTTAAATATTGACAATATTTCCCCTTAAATTTCAATTGATTTGGTTTTTTCATTCTTCTTTTTTTTTTTTTTAATTTTATTATTTTTTATTTTTATTTATTTATTTATTTATTTATTTATTTATTTATTTATTTTTTTTTTTTGTCACGTCCGTACTCAATACATACGTCATTCGAAGCAAAGGGACACCTTAACGATCTTAATGAACAAAAATGCAATTTGAACGAATCGTATCAAATATAACTCGTTCGCGTATCATTCGTAAAACGAGTCAGTCCGTCGTGTCCTACGATTGCAAAACAACGAGAGAATAAAAAAGCGCTGTTATCGCAGACCGACGGAGGAATTTACCAAATATGGTAACGAATTGCTGCTAAGCCCGGGGCAATTGAGTTTCGTTTTTGCCATTCGAAACTGACGACGTCCTTAATCTCTCTATCTATCTATCCCTGGCTGCTAAACATCCATGGGAATAAATTAAAACTCGTCTCTCTGCTGCCCATCGAGACTCAACCTACCGATACGACGAGGATACGGTAGATCCCTAGCGTCGCTCAGCACTCAAAGTTCGCGAAAATGCGAGACGAAGTGCGACTGTTGTATATATTAATTACCAGCATAATAATGGCCTTGTGCGGCTGCATAAGGAGTGATATGTTTGATGGTTGTAGCTAAGCCAAGTGGGGCCTTTCTCTCCCCCCATCCTGCACGATTAACCGGTGAGTTTCGGGCTCGCAGCCGCTAGATGACGCTGGGAAGGTTCGCGGGTGTGGTGAAAGGCAGCAGCGGCGGCGGCGGCGGCGGCGGCGACGACGGCGACTGCTGCTTCGACGACTGTAATATCGCCGGTGGAGGTGGACAACGGACTGGAAGTGCGTTGAAGTGTCGGTGGTGGTGGTGGTGGTGATGGTGGTGGTGGTAGTGGTGTACTTGGTTCGATCGCGGCTTTTGGGCTTCGTTAATTCAGTCGCGCAATTGTGTCGGTCGTAGATTGACGTAAAGATCGTCGACGAGTTTGTTTAGGAGGAGAGTTGGACGAGAGTCCTCGGCCAGCGGCCCCCTAAAACCTCTACTATATTATATTCAAAGGGCCAAAAAGTCGGTGAGTTTTATCGTCGTTTTCGAGCTCAGTATCGAAGCGCATTTGCGTGGGTAAATGCAGCTGGAGGCAGCTGGATTGGCGTGTTCGAGAGAAGATTCGATGTCAGGGGCAGCCATTGTCGTGTTCTTGGTCGTCGGTTGGCGAGTCATCGTTGTTGGCCTCGATTCGCCAATCGCTCGATCGAAAATGGTTTTTTACTTCGAGCGTATTTATACGTGACCTGATTCTCGTGTCGAGCATCGTTAGCCGTTTTGGTAATTTCTGCGCCGTCGACGCTCCCCCTGCCTTAAAAATAAATTCCACGTCTGTTCCGTCGAGTGCGAGATTGATGGGGATTTTCTGACTGACGTACGTGTGTTATTTGGCAATGTTTACGTTCCGCTCGCACGATTCCCCTTTCGACTTGTTATAATTTATGGCTTGTTTCGGGCTTACGATTGTATGGTCAATTGTATGATTGTAGTTTTTTTTTTTTTTTTTTTAATGGATATCGGCGATTTTTTCGAATTTAATTGATTTTTTAATGGTACGGAATATTAAGGAAGTATTGGGAACGTCAATTTCATCGGCAAAATATTTGTTTTCGCTGTTGCATTTTATGGTTATCTGTGGCTAATCGAGAGCTTAGGGCGCCTTGTAAAAATAAAACGATAATCGATAATATAGTGATAAATTAAACCATTTAAATTTACTTTGTTAGATATAGTTTTGTAGTTTTAGTCATTTCATTTGTTTTTGGGGCAAGTTTTAGAGTAAACTTGACATTATCGATTACTTAAGCATCATTCGTAAGAGATTAGTTGTGTTACAGAGCTAAAACAAAGCGATGACGTAGGCTTTCGTCTGTGCATCTTGCAATATCTTTAATCGCTGCTGTTTAAGACTTGTTTGTAGATCTCGTTACTTTATGGTATATCATCGATAGACTACCAATTTATTGCACTGTGTATATCGCTCGTCCAAACAAACAAACTTATTTTTGTCTTCGGCTCTATAATTATATCTATAATTATTATCCAAATATAGGCTTATAAATTATCCAAAAATAGGCTAGAATCTAATTTCTGTATGTTGGGGACTAGAATCTATGTCAGTGATATAATTCCTTGTTTTACAAAGACATTTGTACGTAAAAATGATAAGAATTAATGCATTGGATCATTTTGCCCCCTTAGCATTATAACGAAATAACTTGTTGAATTAATTTTAGCTAAAGATGTCGTCTCGTAAAACTGCTGGACGTCGTGCAACGACAAAGAAGCGTGCTCAGCGTGCAACTTCCAATGTTTTTGCCATGTTTGACCAAGCACAGATTGCGGAATTTAAAGAGGCCTTCAATATGATTGATCATAATCATGACGGCTTCATCGACAAAGAGGATCTGCACGATATGCTTGCATCGTTGGGTAAAAATCCTACTGATGAGTATTTGGAGGCTATGATGAACGAAGCTCCAGGGCCCATAAATTTCACCATGTTCTTAACACTTTTTGGAGAAAGACTACAAGGCACGGATCCGGAAGATGTAATTAAAAATGCTTTTGGCTGCTTTGACGAAGAAAATACAGGTCACATCAACGAAGAACGCCTCAGAGAACTGCTGACCACTATGGGAGATCGGTAATATATTATTTTAATTAAACTCGCGACAGCTTTGTCGCCCGGGTGACATTTATTTATAGCCACTATTTAATTTTGCTCAGATTTACCGACGACGATGTTGACGAAATGTATCGTGAAGCACCAATAAAAAATACTATGTTCGATTATCTTGAGTTTACAAGGATTTTGAAACATGGTGCGAAGGACAAGGATGAACAGTGAAAAGAAATTATTTTTTCTAGCTTAGAGAATGCAAATATTATAAATCTCCTCTAACTTCATCTATAAAATGGTTTCGAAGAGTTAAAGAGCACTTTTATTCACCAATGAGAGATAGAAAAACCTTTGTCAAGCTATATAGCTAACCTATATTCGCATACATTTTCTTACCACAGGCAATTATTTTGCATTTTTACATAATATATGATATACTTTAATTTTTCTTCAATCGCAAACAATGGATGATTATTTTAAAAGTGCCTATTCATTGTAACGGTCGTGACAAGTATTTTATAAGTATTAGCATTATTGGCGTTCGAATTTGGATTGTAATATACACATTCATTTATTCAAGTGTGTAGTAAAATATGACTAATATTACATTTATTGTTTATTCATCGAGAGGGCGGCAATTGTATTTTAATACGTATATTATAATATAATATCAAATTTAACATAAATTGGATAACCAATGATTTTTCTTCACTTTTACCACTTCAACATATTATTTACAATATTTTATTCTCATATCTTTAGTAGATTTCTATCTGTATTGACAAAATAATTTTATTTTAGTCTTGTCTTAATGGATATCATTTATTCATTTATACATTCCTCGACAAACACTTACCATACAATTACGTAAAATTACATTTTGTCTGATCTTTTGATATTTCAAATGTCAAAAAAAGAAGAAATAATAAATTAAAAAGTCACAATGGTAAATAGTAATTAAATCAAATTGATTGCATGTGTCTTGTCACTTTCTGTACATTATGTATTCATTCTATTCGATAGAATAGATTCAAATTAATTATCAATCCATTTTGATAAAATAGATAAAATGAATTGCATTCAGGTATAAATATATACTAATTTCCATTAAATTTAAAGATGGAAAAGACTTGCAAGTGACTTGTAAATGGATTTATTTGAACAAAAATATTCTTTAATTTTTCATTATTTTAACAGATATCTCTGATAAAATAATCTCAAAAATAAATGCCTTATAGCAATAGATAAACATAACACATAAGCAAAAATTAAAAAAAAAAAAATCATTTCTTACATTTCATCAGATTTTCTATAAAATTTTTATATCGTCGATGTCATATAAAATTATAAATTATGATTATATTATTTTACAAATATCTTTTTTTTCAAAGCTTTAAAGTTTTTAATTCCGAGTTTAATGCAATTGCAAAGATCCCATGTCTCTTATTTCTTCAATAATAGAAAACATTAAATAATACTAAATTTAAATACTGCATGAAAATATATTTCCATAAAATCTTGTAAATCCATGCTACGTATTATAGATTAATGTCGGTTAACTTATAATGCAAACTATTATTCTAATATATAATTATAACAAAATGTAAGCGCAGCTGATTGGATATAAGAGAAATTATTGATAAACATACCTAACCCATCGATAAGTAAATAATTACAATTGGCATTTAATTTCAAATACGTATTTACCCAAGAGCAATTTAATAGATCCATTCTCCAACAGTCGCTTATTCACGTTCTTTGTCATCCTCCAAAAATATCGTTTATTCATATGCCTGATATTTTCAAATATTACATTTGCGCTCTAATATCGAATTATTGGCTTTAATCCAGAAGGTTTATCGATTAGGGCCGGTATGGTAGGTCACAGAGCAAAAATTGCCAATCTATATCCTACATATTCTTAACGCGGTTGTAAATATCTCGTACAACTATCAAACATAACGCGATAACGCACAACAATTAATATTTCATATTCGTTTGCAAAAAAGCTCAACAAATGCTTTCAACAACGTCCCTACGATTAAAAAAACAAAGCAATAAACAAAGAAAGGTAACGCAACGCAAGTATGCTTGGACAATAAAATGTCCAATAAACAGCAATGAGAACGAATATGGAAAAATAAATCATTTACGGACGAACCCACGAAACCATCCTATTATAAAACTTCTCTAACGCACTCACCATTTTATCGTTTACCGTAACAGATCGCGGCTTAACCTACCTAAATATCAAATTAATCGCCCGACTATACGCCTCGCTGCATCAACACGCGTATCCAAATCCCCCCCCCCCCCCCACCCCCCCCCCCCCCCACC